CTGAGGGGAGAGGCGTTGGGAGGGACCCAGGGGTCCCTGCGTCGGAGCAGTGCCTGCGCGGGTGCGGAGGGGAACGGAGCCAGGCCTGGGGCCAGGGGGGTCCTCTCCCGCACAGAGGGCAGCTGGGCCACTCCTGTCTGAAAATCAGGCCCCAGGCCTCTGACCCGGCCCCACGTGGAGCGACAGCTGCACGTGACGTGTGCAAAGTAGCACGGGCAGCCCCTCGGAGCCGGGCCTGGTCACCGCATCCCGCCCGGCCTGTGCCTACCCAGCGCTTGTTTGCCTGTGGTGCCACCTACTGGGGCAAAGGCAAAAAGCCAGGCCCTGGCCAGGGCGTTGGACTCCTGCCGCAAGGATGGGCAGCGCCAGCTCCCTCAGCTCCACAGGCCTTGGGTCTAGCTCAGGGGAGACCTAGCGCAAAGCCCTGGCTGCCTCTAGCGATGACAGATCCCCACGCACGTCCCACCACCGACCAGGCCTCAGCCCAGTGTGGGCCCCTGCCTCCGAGAAGTCCCTCGGCAGTCCGGACGTTTCTAACTGCGGCACGGCGCTGTTCAAAGCTGCTGCACCCCAGAGGTGAGCGCGCGCCGTGTCCTGTTGACACAAAAAGGGCACCGCAAAGAACCGAGCTAAGGGCACCCTGCCGGGAAGAGGGAGGCAGCCGCCTGGCCTGCGCCAGCACGTTCTGGCAGGAGGAGTTGTCCGTGGCCTGACAAGGCAGACAGGCGATGTAATTCATTACCAGTGGGAATAGGTCAATGGAGGGATGCTAGGAGTTACTAGAGAACTTTCTGGGTGTCTGGCTGGTGAGTCTTGCCCACATGCTCAGGGTTTAGCTGATCGCCATATTTGGGGTCAGGAAGGAATTTTCCTCCAGGGTAGATTGGCAGAGACCCTGGAGGTTTTTCGCCTTCCTCTGTAGCATGGGGCACAGATCACAGCTGGAGGAGTCTCTGCATCTTGGGGTCTTCAAAGTATTTGAAGGCTTCAATATCTGAGCTATAGGCGAGGGGATTATTCTGGGAGGGGTGGGTGAGATTCTGTGGCCTGCACTGTGCAGGGGGTCAGACTAGATGATCATAATGGTCCCTTCTGACCTTAAAGTCTATGAGTCTATAATTGGCCCCCTTCAGGTACCAGCTCGCCCAGCCCAGGCCGAGTATCCCAAGCGCTACACAAAAGCAACCGCTTTGCTGACTGGATGCACTTTGGACGGGCGTGTGCACCAGCGTCCCCCTGTCCTTCAACACACTACAGAGCAAGTGGAGAATTCAACCCAGGTGTGTAAGGACACTAGAGAAGCCTTCCCCGGTGCTCTAGCTCCTGCTGCAGAGACTCAGCGATACAACCCGGCCTCCTCGCCCCCCTGCCACCGTTGCTGTGCTGGGGCCAGGCAGGAGGCAGCAGCCCTGGCTGGGTCTTTCCAGCTCCCTGCCAAGGCTCAGAAGCGCGGAGGCAGGGGCCTGGCCCCGCGCGGGAGAGCTTAGACGTTACACCGATGCAACGGCGCCGGGGTAAGCGGCAGCCCGGTCAGCATTCCCGGTGCAAGGGGTTTCCGGCCTGCCACTGCCTCTGTGGGTGCCCAGCCCGTGGCTTGAGTGGAAGTGGGGAATGACGGGGTTCCCAGAGCTATTTCACCATCCCCAGGTTCCATGAGCCCTGCCGGGCCTGGCTAGAGGCTTAGCGCCGTCTCGAGAGCAACCCTGGGTGCTCAAGCTAATCATGGCAGCAGCATGTGAAGGGGGAGGCTCTCCAACAGCAAATAGCACTGAGGTAACCGCACGAGCACCCGTGAGGCTGGGTTCACGCTGAGGTAAGTGCACGCGCCCGTGAGGCTGGGTTCACACTGAGGTAAGTGCACGCACACGTGCGCCCATGAGGCTGGGTTCACGCTGAGGTAAGTGCACGCGCCCGTGAGGCTGGGTTCACACTGAGGTAAGTGCACGCACACGTGCGCCCATGAGGCTGGGTTCACGCTGAGGTAAGTGCACGCGCCCGTGAGGCTGGGTTCACACTGAGGTAAGTGCACGCACACGTGCGCCCATGAGGCTGGGTTCACGCTGAGGTAAGTGCACGCGCCCGTGAGGCTGGGTTCACACTGAGGTAAGTGCACGCACACGTGCGCCCATGAGGCTGGGTTCACGCTGAGGTAAGTGCACGCGCCCGTGAGGCTGGGTTCACACTGAGGTAAGTGCACGCACACGTGCGCCCATGAGGCTGGGTTCACGCTGAGGTAAGTGCACGCGCCCGTGAGGCTGGGTTCACACTGAGGTAAGTGCACGCACACGTGCGCCCATGAGGCTGGGTTCACGCTGAGGTAAGTGCACGCGCCCGTGAGGCTGGGTTCACACTGAGGTAAGTGCACGCACACGTGCGCCCATGAGGCTGGGTTCACGCTGAGGTAAGTGCACGCGCCCGTGAGGCTGGGTTCACACTGAGGTAAGTGCACGCACACGTGCGCCCATGAGGCTGGGTTCACGCTGAGGTAAGTGCACGCGCCCGTGAGGCTGGGTTCACACTGAGGTAAGTGCACGCACACGTGCGCCCATGAGGCTGGGTTCACGCTGAGGTAAGTGCACGCGCCCGTGAGGCTGGGTTCACACTGAGGTAAGTGCACGCACACGTGCGCCCATGAGGCTGGGTTCACGCTGAGGTAAGTGCACGCGCCCGTGAGGCTGGGTTCACACTGAGGTAAGTGCACGCACACGTGCGCCCATGAGGCTGGGTTCACGCTGAGGTAAGTGCACGCGCCCGTGAGGCTGGGTTCACACTGAGGTAAGTGCACGCACACGTGCGCCCATGAGGCTGGGTTCACGCTGAGGTAAGTGCACGCGCCCGTGAGGCTGGGTTCACACTGAGGTAAGTGCACGCACACGTGCGCCCATGAGGCTGGGTTCACGCTGAGGTAAGTGCACGCGCCCGTGAGGCTGGGTTCACACTGAGGTAAGTGCACGCACACGTGCGCCCATGAGGCTGGGTTCACGCTGAGGTAAGTGCACGCGCCCGTGAGGCTGGGTTCACACTGAGGTAAGTGCACGCACACGTGCGCCCATGAGGCTGGGTTCACGCTGAGGTAAGTGCACGCGCCCGTGAGGCTGGGTTCACACTGAGGTAAGTGCACGCACACGTGCGCCCATGAGGCTGGGTTCACGCTGAGGTAAGTGCACGCGCCCGTGAGGCTGGGTTCACACTGAGGTAAGTGCACGCACACGTGCGCCCATGAGGCTGGGTTCACGCTGAGGTAAGTGCACGCGCCCGTGAGGCTGGGTTCACACTGAGGTAAGTGCACGCACACGTGCGCCCATGAGGCTGGGTTCACGCTGAGGTAAGTGCACGCGCCCGTGAGGCTGGGTTCACACTGAGGTAAGTGCACGCACACGTGCGCCCATGAGGCTGGGTTCACGCTGAGGTAACTGCACCCCCCCCAAGGTTCTGTGCGTGGCCCCAAGACACGTTTACCGTTGCCCACATGCAGAGTTGCCAGATTCCACAAGTTTTCACAGCTGTCAGCTTTTCCCTCCCAGTATTACTGAAGTGACACGCCCGCAAAGCCAGGGCACGTGAAGTGAGGTGTGTGCGGATTCCACGCCACACTGGGTGCTCCCTCTGCATCCAATCACTGTGCTGCTACAGTTCAGTTGGCTCCCTTTGCAAATCCTGGGTACCCCAGAGCCGTCAGCAAACTGCCCTAACCCAGGACCGCCTGGTTTAGGACAAACTTGCCGCGGAGACGGAGGCCCCTCAGTTGCCTCGCGCTGCGTTAGTGAGTTGAAGGGGGAGCAAGACCGGCCAGTCCAGAGGAGCTACGCCAAGGCCATCCATGAGCCACCACCAGACTGGCTGCTTACCCCCGCGTCTCCTGGGGTGTTTCTGGCAGCAGCCAAGCCCCTGCCTCAGGCGGCCTAGAGGACTTGACAGCCCACGAGCCACCGGTTTACAGGACGTGGTCCCTGAGCTGCAGCCAGGCAGACCTGCCCCTGAAGTAGAGCTTCCTAGCGTAGCAGGTACACGAGCTCCTGGAAGTGATGAGGGTGGACAACGCAGCCCATATAACGTGCAGTGCAAGGCAAAGGCAGCTTCGCAGCTGGGGGCCAGGTTCCCAGGCCGGCCGCAGACCCAGTAACCTGCCCTTGCTCCGAGCACCGCTTAGCTGAGCCACAGCTCTCAATGCCAGGCCACTTGCCCCTCAGCTCCCTGCGACTCTGGCTCATTCTGGAATTTCAGGGAAGCTTCCTCCAGCAACCACATCTGCTCAGCCCTCTCCCTTTGCCATACAGGCCCCAGGCGTGCGTGCTTGCCAGCTCTGAAAACACCAGACCCACAGGCCTGGCTGGCTTAAGAATCCCCCACGTGTGTTAATGCAGAGGGCAGCCCCCTCCCCCAAGAAGCATAGGATGGAGGCTCTTTCAACACAAGCCTAAACCCTCGGCCACCTCGCCAAGAGCCGGGTCAATGCTCTGCTGGTCTGACTCAGGCTCCTGGCTGAGCAAAGCTGCAAACAGGTCACTGTGCAAAGGCGCTTCTCCCTGGGAGCAGCCTAGGGATGACCCAGAGCACCAGCAGGGCAGGCAGGGTGTTAACTGCAGGCCTTGTTTCTGCACAGCGGGGACACAGAAGGAAAAGGGCTGCGACTCCTGAGACTTTCCCAACTGCTTTCTGTGAGCAACAAGTCCCCCCCCTCCCCCACACACACACCTGGAGTAAAAAAAAAATCCCCTCCCCCCCCAGG